GCCTCCCAAAGTGCTGGGATTATAGGCGTGAGCCACCTTGCCCAGCCAGCTTGTACAAGTCTTTGCACAGACATTTGTTTTGAATTTTTTTGGTCATATTATGGGTATGTGTTTAGTTTAGAAACTGCTAGACCTTTTCTCAAAGTGGTTGTACCATAGTTACATTCCCACCAGTAGCTTTGAAGGTTGCTTTTCATTCTTGCCAACATTGTTGTCAGACTTTTAAATCTGACTATTCTGATGGATATGTAGTGGTATTTAAAATTTCATCAAAATTTTTAAAAATAATAAAATTTCATCAAAATTAAAAAGTTGAGTTGAATGCAAATTGAAGCTACAATGAAAAATCTGAGTTTTTTCTTTTCTGATTTGTGTTTTTGTATATTATCCCAGAAATCTTTACCTGAAGTTACAGAGATTTTCTTTTTTTGTTTGTTCTTTTTTTTTTGAGACTGAGTCTCAATCTGTCACTCAGGCTGGAGTGCAATGGCACAATCTCGGCTCACTGCAACCTCCGCCCGCCTCCTGTATTCAAGCGATTCTCCTTCCTCAGCCTCCAGAGTAGCTGGGATTATAGGCGTCCACCACCACACCCAGCTCATTTTTTTGTTATTTTTAGTAGAAAGGGGTTTTCACCATGTTGGCCAGGCTGATCACGAATTCCTGACCTCAAGTGATCCCTCTGCCTTGGCCTCCCAAAGTGCTGCGATTACAGATGTGAGCCACCATGCCTGGCCTTCTCCTATGTTTTCTTCCTAGGAATTCTATAGTTTTAGCTTTCACATGTAGGTCTATGGTTTATTTTGAGTTAATTTTTGTTTACAGTGTGAGATAAAGCTTAAAGTTTTTTAATATGCATGTGTAGTTCTAGTACCATATGTTGAAAAGATTTTTCTTTTCCCATTGAATTACTGTGGTAACTTTGTTGAAAATCAATTAAGCATATGTGTATAGGGATATTTCTGAACTCTAAATTATCTTCCATTAATCTACAGAATTTGTTTTTTTTTTTTTGTTTTTTTTTTTGGTTTTTTTTTTTGAGACGGAGTCTTGCTCTGTCACCCAGGCTGGAGTGCAGTGGCGCGATCTCGGCTCACTGCAAG